TGGGGCATCGGCAGGATGACGCAGGGTCCCATTATCTTTTCGTTGCCCTGTGTGCCATACTAGATTTTTAGCGTCCTTTATCGAAACAAACAGACGCTTGAACCTTGGTATTATTGGAAGGTACCACAAAACCTTAACTGGAGTCTTTTTGGTTTTTTCATATTTTCCTTGTTATGAGTCATTTTGGTTGACTCCTTGTATCTTGGAGCAAAACACTTGGGACATTCGTTGAGATCCTCGAACTCATTTCGATATAAAATGTAACGTCCTAAAAATCGGTCTAGAATTTTTTTTAAAATTTTGCTACAAAATAAAATTTTAAAAAAATTGAAAAAAATGTTTAAAATTTAAGTATGAAAAAAATGTTCCACTATTATTTATTTAAAAATAATAAAAAAATATTAGAATACAAGCTTTAATGATTAAATTGTTAGAGTGGATGAGTAAAAGCAATAAAATTAGTTTTGGTTCTCTACTATCTAAAAAATATAGTTTGTTCAAGTGAATCTATTTTCTTGACAAACAAATTATGTGAAAAAGATGTGTGAAAAAAATGGAACTTAACGGTATAAGTCTTATATTTTTCCAAAAAATATTTAATAATCGAAACTATGGAGGTCGGACATGTAATTAAACAAACGGATCAAGAAAACCATTAGTTTTCCTCTCTAAAACATCACGCCTAACACAAGGGAAAAATTTAACTCCCTTCCCATTCATTAACCTCATAATGGAGGTAATGAATATGGTCATTTTTATTTTAATTATACTTTAATATTTTATTTAATTAAAGTAAATATGTTATCTCTTCACTTTCCCCTTCACTTTCTAGAACTCTATTTCCTCACTATAAATAGACTCTCATAATAAGAGAAACTCATGACCACATCAAGAGAAGAAAAGGATGTATAGATTTAGAGAGTAGGTGATTAAGAACGGTTTGTGGCTTTGTCGAGGGAGAGAGAGACGTGGGAGATCGATGCTGTCACGAGATCGATCATCTTGCAACGTCGTCATTCATCAATCTATTTGTAACACCCTAATCCGTCCAGGTATGCAGCCCCTTTCGGACTAATGTATTAATTTGGAAATCATAAAAATTTAAAACATTTCAACACTTTTATTCATCATAAATATTATTCAATACATAACTGTAGCAAAATACGGAGTGTTTAATAATAGTGCAGAAGCGATTTAAATCATGTTTAATAACAACACAATTATTCATTTTAAAATCACAAATTCCACCACGACAGTCTCGCCCCTTCCGATGCCAGGAACATGCCAATCATTCATTTTGCCTACTTGCGTGTAGCAAATAAAACACACTACACACTCAGTGGTGAAGCTGAGTAAGCATATCTAAAGCGTCGAACATCCACATAAATTGAATCGCAATTTATAATCAACCATTTGATATCATGCATGCAATATATGATTCAAACATTCATGATATTCTCAATATTTTTTTCCAAGTCATTTCATGATAAATACATTATCCTATATCTCAACAGTGCTCTTACGTTATTTTTAATCTAAGGCCAAATCATTTCATAACAAGCTCTTAGCTATTCTTAGTTTAAGGCAATATTTCTAACCAGACCCTTAAACTATAAATAATTTAATGCAAAACACAAGAATCGATAATCCACCCTATGAGTCATGTGGATTACGTACCAACCGAACAGTGAACAGTCGGGTGGGTGATATCCGTTCTGGATCCCGTACGTATGTTTTAACCCGAAATATGAATTGGTCAAGGAGGTATATCTTAGAGTTCTTCTAGATATCCTTAATAATCATCATCATTATACAAGTGGGTATATCTTAGAGTTCTTCAAGATATCCTTAATAATCATCATCAATATACAAGTGGGTATATCTTAGAGTTCTTCTAGATATCCTTAATAATAATCATCAATATACAAGTGGGTATATCTTAGAGTTCTTCTAGATATCCTTAATAATATACACTATTTTCATTTTTATTCACTTTTAATCATGATTTAATCATCAATAATTATTCTAATTAGTAGGTTTATCATTCATAATTATCCATAATAATTATTCATCATAATGATCATTCTACATAACGTTTAATAACAAATAGCGGCCTAGTCTCGAGTGTTAACACCAAAACTTACCGTCATGCATCACATAATGTTTTATATGCTAAAAACATCATTTTTATTGTACAAAATCATATTTATAATGTTCATAATTAGTTGGTATCAAAAATAGGATTTTAGAATTCAAAACGATATTTTCTAGAAAATTTTCTAAGCAGAATCTGGATTTGAGGAAAAATCGATTACTGCATTTAAAATAATCGATTTAATTAATAAAAATCGATTTAATTAATTTAAATAATCGATTAATGGAATAAAATTGATTTTTGTAAAATAAATAAACGATTATATACTTTTTTAATCTATTATTGGAACGGAAAAATCGATTAACTGTACTGACTTCGAATCCTTGATCTGAATAAAGTTCTAATCGATTCTTAGTAAGTAAATAATCGATTTTTAGTCACTATTCATCATCTTCTTCCTCTGGTCAGTTTTAACATTATCATTTTTTAATCACCAAACTTCAATTAAACTATATAAAAATGTTCTCCAATGTTCACAAATCATTTTAGAGTCATTAATTCGTAGTTTTAACATCAAATTCAAGGTTTATGATTCTTAGTTCTTCAAACATGTCAAACACAAAACTCAACCAAATGACAAATTATGAGAGTAAAAACGACCTATATGAACATTCTAGTCATTAGATATATCTACAGGCTTACCTTGAAGCGTAATAGAGGTTTTGAAGATTTTCCAGCGAAACTTCTGGCGACTATATCTCACTGCTCCGGCGACCTTATACAAAGATGACAGCACCAATGCACTATACTCTCAGCAAGGAACAATATAGAAGGAAGAATGGATTTTTTTGGTGATGAAATGGAGGAATTGGCTCTCCTTAAATAGCGAAGTGAAGGAGGAAGAAGACAGGGAGTTTGCAGCTTCCTTGATTGCACGGTGATTTGGATTTTGGAATCGGCGTAATTGAACAGGGCGCCGTTTGGTGTGTAGTCCCTGATTGGGACTAATTTTGGTCTCAGTCGGGGTACACTTTTTGGTCCAACTTTCTCCAAATTGAAATCCGATTGAACCGTTGGGGTCAGAGAGTCAAACTCTACATAATGATATAATTTTCATTATTTATTGACAAACTTTATAATTCACTTATTTTTGGGTCCTTCTCAGTAATTAATTAATTATCAATTAATTAATTCTGATAGGCCTAATTTTGGGGCGTTACACTATTATTTTGTCTAACTAATATCAAAGGTGTGCCGTTGACCCTAACATTTAGATATATATTTCATGTTAATATATTTTTGTGCATTTCCTTTTTTTTATTAAAATGAATTTACTCTTTTAGATAATAATTTAAAGGAGAGAAGATAATAATCATAATAATTAAAAAATATATACATGCTGCAAATAAATTTCACATGGCTTAAAAAATAAGAAAGAAAAGTGTAATTACACACTTTCGGTAATGGATAAAGAATGAACTTTCTATGCTTTATTATCATTGTTACTGTTATTGTTATTGTTATTATTATTATTATTCTCATTAGTACCATTATTATCGTTTCTATTTTAAAAAGGTTATAACCAAAGGTTAAGGAAAAATAATAATTGATAACAAAAAAAAAGATTAGTATAATGACTTTTCATTCGGCAGAAGCTTTAACGAAAAAAACAGTTTGTTATTTTTTTAAAAAAAATAGTTTGGCTTTATAAATAAAGAAGGGCCGAAGGTTTTTTAAAAAATATTAACTAGAGTAAACCTACTGTTTAAATAAATATATACACATATATCAAACTTTTATATGACAAAAGGATTGGATGTGCAAATGAAATAAAACTGACACTTTAAATTGAAACTTTGCGAAGGAAATGAAACTAGTATGTGTCAAAATGTTGGATGTGCCGAACTAAAAGGTGTAACACTTTAAAATTTGCTTGTTTCCTACTTTTATTATTATTACCATTTTTAGGCAGAATGCAACTTAATTGATTTAATAAGGTGGGTGACGTTATGAATAGAAGATAACAAGTGAGGGTTGTAAAGGATCAATTATAATGGGTGTATATTTATGCACTTCTGATTGGTGGAAAAAGTTTTGTTGTTTGCATAACAATTGGATGTTTTAGATGGAAGGGGGACTTTGAATGTTAAATGATTTTCGAAAAGGATTGCGTTTGAAGTTATTAAAAGTGATTTATCTAAATGATAATACAAAGGTTAACCAATAGTTAGTGGACGAAGCAAAAACTTCATGGTTATCTTAACGATGTACCCTGACCAGGTATTGTCACGTTTTTACTAAGTGGATCAAACCACTTTCAAGGCCGGACCATATCCATGTGGATGAGCCTATAAATAATCATACCAGAACGTGCGCACGAGAACCCGACGATGACCCCGTGGGTCTAGGGTTCACTTCTGATTACCGGACCCGAGGTCACGGGGAGGTATCCGAAGTAAAACTATGTATCGACTAGTGCAGGGTTCCAGCCTAGTCACAGCTTAGTCTTTAATCTGTGGTTAACTTAGTAGGTCAAGGGTTTCCTAAATGTCCCCAAGTAACTGTTCAAAGTGAGGAGGAAAGCTTGGACGTGGAGGCCGTGCCGAAGGAGTTCTTATTTAATATTCAATAATGAATAAAACGTCGAACTTAATTTACATTGTTTTTGGGTTTGAACCCAAGGCTGTATTAACTGTGGATATTTTTACTTTAAGCTTACGCGAAAAATGTTTTTTTATTCTCTTTAGTTATCAAAAAGAGAGAATATATTTCGGATAAATAATATTTTACAAAGTAACCCTATTTTACTAGCACTCTTGTCTTGATGACTCGGGTCATCCAGGGTGGGGTGTTACATAAAATGCAATCATTAACACAAGCATGTATCTTCTTGTAGCCCTCACCCATTAGAGACATCTATTTCTTCGTCTCATAAGTGGATGATGGCAATTCGTGTCCATCTGAAAGAAGTTCACCCAACAAACTTAGTAAAGACGTGAAACTTTTGTCACTCAACCCATTTGCTACTTTTAAATTAAACAATTCCAAACCCTTTCAAACGTGTAAACTTTGTACAACCAGGATACAACGGGCGTTTTGAGCTTCCTACTAAGTTCTCATACATATTACGCTCTTCATCAATGACGCCTTGATCAAGAGGAACATCTTGAGTAGCCCCTAACTCATCTTCCATTTCAACCTCAAAATTGTGGATGTCATGAATATCATCTTCGACTTGTTCATCATGAGTATGAGCCTGTTCTTTAGGGCTTGAACTCTTAACTTCCAGTTTCTTCCAGTTCCTTCCAATTTTTTTAGTTTCTTCCAATTTCTTCAAGTTTCTTCCAGTTCCTTCCAGTTCTTCGAGTTTCTTTCAGTTCCTTCTAGTTTCTTCCAACTATTCTCATTTTCTTCAAACTTTTTCTGCTCAACCAATTACTCTAAAAACGATATATTTAAATGTGATTATTACTATTATTATTATTAACACTATTATGTTCATAATTATAGTTTATAAATTATTTTTTTTCATCTCACTATTTTTACGATTCACACTCATTATTTTTTATTCAACTTTATAATATGAATAAGACACTTTTTTGTATATTAGTCTACATGATAAAACAGGAAAACATCAATATGTTAAATTATATTAAAAAAATTATGGATAAAATAGTGACAATGAATGTTTTATAAATCTAACTTTATATAAGACCTCTCACCTTTTCCTTTATTATTTAAAATTTGCTCATTTTTCTAATTTTTATAAAAAAAAATTGTAAGTCAAAATACTTTAGAGAAAAAGACTAAAATAGGAGTAAAACATAAAAAATGTATAAAAAAAGTTCTATGTATTTATTCCAAAAATAGGAGTTCAATAAAAATAAAATGTCAATCATGAAAGAAAAAATAGGTTTGATTACATTATGGGACATGTCTGATATTTAAAAAAATCTTGTAATATATAAAGTATAATTATAAATATATTATTTATAATACATACTGCATAAATAAATTGAGATGCAATATAACGACAAAGACTTTTTAAAATTTAATATTTTTATATTTATGATAACTTTATATTATAAGTTTTTTTTTCAAAAGTAGTTTTTTTGTACTTAAAAAATAAAAATACTTTTTTTGTATCTTAAAGGCATTCATTAAGGTAACATCATAGTGATGATGATTATAATGATGATAATATATATATATATATATATATATATTTATATATATATATAATATGAATAATAATAATAATATGACTGGTAGATGGGTTTAGATAGGGAATCTTTGAGAGGCTACTTCCACCGTAAGTACGATCCCTGGCGACCGTTCACCTCTAGAAGCAATCGACGGTGATATAATGAGCGAAGAGATGGATCTGAGAATCTTCAGGTTTGGGAAAGAAGGAGGGATCATCGAAGCTATCCAGATTTCTGGCATAATTCAAGGAACCGACGAGGGTACGATCTCTACATCCCACGGATTCAATGCGAAAGTCAAAATCAATCTCACTCCTTCCGAATTCAAACCAAGGTTTTTAATCTCTTTCACTCTAACTTTAACAAGAACTTCTGTATCAGTGAAATTGGAAAGAGGAATTACGATATATGGTTAGACATCGATGGATTAAATTGGATTCTTGAGCTATTCCCCAAACTAATTCAGAGAAAATCCTGGGCTATCACCCGATTTGAAAAGCATCGGAAACTCACCATTTCTTTTGGATATAATAGCTGGGGTAATTATGTTCGGATACTTGAATCGAGAAGAGAGGGGAGCACCTCCCTCTTTGTCCCTGCGGATAGAGGGGGTATGGTCTATTTTTTGATGCCGTTGAAGAGTTCATTAGTTCTAGAACAGAAAGAAATGTTGCTGCTGCTTCAGGGAATGATAAGTTAGGAAGAGAAGTAGAGGACCTGGGTATTGTTAATCCTCTGCAGCTGGAAGAATTCCCAAGAGTAGAACAAGCTAAAAGGAACTCTTCACTGGAGCCACTTAGCCGGGAAGAGCAATGTTTAATTGACGGGCTATTCAACCAAAATTTGGAGGTGCAAGCATCAAGTTTGGGGGACCCTATGCAATCAGAGCTGGACCTCATGATAATTGATGATAAAGTAGAAGATCAGGCAGGAGGAGACCTTCAAAAGCAGTATGAGATGCTAAAGTCGATTTTCGAACAACACATTAGCGATGACTTTGAGAATTCTCTTTGGATGATCAAGGAAGCGTTACGCTCGCCTTTTGTCAAGGATAAGATCCAACAGGGGCTAGTGTCAACACTTCGGGGGAAGGCACTTAAAGCGACAAGGGATCCTATGAAGAGTGCACAGTGTATAAGGGCTATCAAGCTGAAAGGTACGCATCATCCAGTTCTTCTATGCTGTGCAAACATTGACGTACCTATCATTACGCCATTGTGTGAACATCTAATTGACTACGAGTGATAGGGAGGACTACTCGGTTTTCTTTCTCCTTATCTTCTGTTGGATGTCATTTGGGGACATAGATGTTTTTTCTTATATGGATGGTAATTAGCATGGACTACATTCAACAAGGGAAATTGTGTCTCT